ATTGATTCTATAGAAATATAAATGGGTTATTAAAAAACTTATTATATTCGCAAGTCGGTCCATAAGTAATAATAATTTTTATAAAACCAAGAAAAATGTAATATTAATAAATTAAAATAGCGTAATAAGGCAGGTAGAGACCGCAGGTTGCTTTGCAGTCGTTTTCAGTTGGAGCTTGGGAGGTGGAGAAACAAAGAACCTTAAATTATAAAAATCGAATACAAAAGGACGAATTTACCCTTGGATCTTTATTTGCCTTTTTACTAGGGGATGTTGTTTTAGGGGCCTTTTCTTTTGTCCTTTTTGGGGATTTCACAAATTGAGAAACTTGTGGGATGTCATTTCTTTGACTTTTTCACCGTATAGAGCGTGACATACAATCCCGTTTGGTTAGAAGAAAGCCTCACAAATCACAAATTGCATTTCTTTTTCTAACTAATTCTTATTTTTAGAAAATGTTGTAGTTGGTGAAAGAAACTATTGAGTCCCCTAGATTGAGAATTTATTTCTTATATTAATTCATAAGGTATTCATCATGACAAAAGGAAAATTATATAACTGTGTAAAATTCAACAAACGAATGATTCGCATGATTGTTACAAAATTATATAAAAGTTCAAGGATGTTTTTGTTTCTTCTTTAAAGAGATCCACTTTTATGAACCCATATGCACTCACACGATGATAAATTGAAAGATAGACTAGTCAACTCATTCACTATCTCGTGCATTACATTAATTTCCTAAGTAGACTTTATCGAATCCTAAGTCTATAGTCCGTATACTTTTTATGTCATAGCTCTAGAAAATAAATGTGACTGATGAAACTTCTTAGCAAATATAGCATTGAAATTAATAGATTCACATGACCAAATAAAACTAATCGTGTTTGAGTTGCATCACACCATTTTCAGAACACTCTTGTTTAATAAAAAACATATAGCGAGCGTATATAAACTACATTATATATAACATTTTACTAGAAAAAACAAACGCGTGCCAAGAATTATATATATACAATGAAAACATACTTAATCAGGTGTTTATAAATGTGATTGGTTCTTAGTTTTTGGAGAATTATATAAATTATCACACTGACATATACACACGATGGTTTAGTAGAAGAAGTTGATGAAGTGGAGCCCATACTTTGTTGTTGTTCTTGGGTGTATATATAAATTTGGATATGTAATTTCGATGGTAAAACATAATTATAGATGGAAAAAAACCAATTCGAGAATCATGTGCTAAAATAATACCAGTCAACTCTGACAATATTTCTTCCCAATATGTTTGCCAATTTGCGCAAGAAAACAAGAACACATCTAACGTGTTTCGTACAAGAAAACAAAATATCATAAACCCTAGGCTCTCTTCAAATATATTTGATATCTCAAGATATATGTTGTAAAAGAGAATTTCAATATAAGCTCAAGCACCCCAAGCTTCAACGCTTAGCGAATGATATATACTTCCTTGTTTTTACTTATAGGTCATAAAAATATAATTACTAAAAAGTTTTATTCTCAATGAGTACTTACCTATTTAGAAAAAGAAAAAAATAGAAGCATACCAATAAGACATACGGTTTTGTCATTTTTTTTCTGTAAATATTCATATGGTACCTCTAAAACAGTCGAGTTATCTATTTTTTGTATAAATTTTGGGGTTTAAGTGTATGTACGTACATATATTCATAGATAAATTGATAGAGATACATTGAATAATTTAGAGAAAGTAGAGAATATTCATAAACCCTCTTAAAGGCTATGTATGTGAAAGAGGCCATACCCATACATACATATCCCCCAGCTTCTCATGAGGCTATGTAGTCTGTTCCATGCATTGCCTTTAAAGGGGACCATTTTATCTGAATTCTCTTTTTTGTCCATTTGATCTCAACCTTACACGTCTCCTTCTCGTATCTGCGTACAAACACATGCATCGAAATATCTTTAAGCTTTTTAAGCGTTGTGTAAACGGCAAGTTCACTAGAAGTCACGGTGCGCGTGGCCCACTCTCCTAACCTCCGTGGCTCAAATCGGCGACGAATGGGTCCGGTGAAACAGTAGTGACCGTTCACCTGATTCTTTTGTGGGACACACACATCCACCTGTCACATCTTAAGGTATTTACACTATTAATTCTACCTAGCTAGCTATATAATTAATATTCTAG